GGCGCCGCCACCGAGACTGAGCCCTCTCCTGGGCGCTTGCCGGGGTCCCCCCCCAGCGGCCTGCCGTCCCGAGCGGCCCCGCCCGCACTCTGCGCCCGCTCCGGAGGGCCCGTCCCCGCGGTGCGGGAGGTTGCGGCAGCTTCTGCCGACCGGATTTTTTGGAGGCCGCGAAGGTCGGACGAGCCGAGACCCACGCACGTGCACCGGCTGCCCCGGTTGCTCACGGAGGACGAGGCCCGCGTTTCCCGGTGCGTGCCCCGGAAGGGGTGACGGACGCCCAGTGCACCCGAGGTCACTGTCCGCGGTCAGACCCCCGGGGCTTTGAGAGGCCCGGCGGGCTGCGGTGCGGGGCGCGCCGGAGACCGCGGGGTATTTATTTGTACACAGCCCAGGCGGGGTTCCGCCCCAGGCGCCCGGGACTTCCCCGCCCTGCCCGCCTCGGCCTGGGAAGCGCTGAGGGAGCGGCGCCCGGGCCGGCACCTCTGCGTCCGCGCCCCAGTTCTCATCTGCTTTCCCTCCGGAGCCGGGGCTCGCGGAGCCGGGCGGGCAGCGGTGCTCGTCGGACATCCTGTCACTAACCTGGAAGGCTGCTGGCAGTTTTTCCTTTTTTCCACCGCCCACTCTTTTTAAATAATTACACATGACCATGTACTTGCTCCGCCTGCTCATCTCCTAAGTAGGTGGGCCCTGCGTGTAGTTCATTCTCATTGTTAGATTTCCCCTTCAGCAAGTGGCCCCAACCCGCAATAAACTCTTCCCTCTCGACAAAAAAAGCCATTGGGGATGGGCCGAGGCTTCCGGGAGGTTGCCAGCGTCGCGACCACTGTGCACCTCCGCGGCCCAGGCCGGCGGGGCCAGCAGGGCAGAGCCGGGCTCCCGAGACCCGGAGACGGAGCCGTGGCCCGGCCGGAGCCAGTGACCACACGTGCGGAACTGGGGCGCCCTGGCAGGAAGCTCGGGCGCCACCGGAAGTGGGAGTCAGGGTGGCCGACTATGTGTCCGTCGCCTCCCTCGGGCTGGACAGCCTCTGGCTCTGCTGTCTGCCATCTTGTGCGCCACAGCTCGTCTGGCAGCTCTTGGTGGTGTCCCCCAGGACGTCTGCTCGCCTGATGCGCTGGCCTGGCCTCTCCCAGCTTCCGCCGTCTTCACGGCGCCCAAAGCCATCCGGCCCGGCTGCTGCCAGGAGGATCCCTCACAGGCCGGTGCTGGCCCGGGACCGCGTCCACAGGCTGGTCGTGAAGTCATGGGGCGTCCTGGGTCCACGGCTGTGGGCGGACAAGCTACAGGAGGGGCAGCTGCGAAACTGGGTCGGGTCTAGGGCACTCGCCCGTGTCTGTGCTGACTGGTGTCAGAATGAGCTCTTTCATAGCTTTCCCTGGGGATATTTTCACTCCTAGAAAGGAAGAGCTGATGTACAAGGGGCAATCAAAATAAATGGTATTTACATTTTAAAAATTCATTACAAGCTGGGTGTGGTGGTACATACCTGTAATCCCAGCACTCAGGAGGCTGAGGCAGGAGGATCGCTGAGAGTTCAAGGCCAGCCTGGGCTGCATAGCGAGACCCTGTCTCAAGCAAATGCTATGGCAAAAGACACATTGCCATTAATCTCCTCAGAAGACTTCACCTCGCTTTGATCACACCCATCCTGTCGTTTTCTGAGGCAGTTCTGGCAGTCTTTCTCAGGTGTCTTTATATGGCATGATAAAAAGCATGGCGAATGCTGGCTGCTGTTTGCCATCCAATGAATGGAAAAGCAGCCTTGTGAAAACACGTCTATGTGTTATCCCCCTTACTGTGTCTGGCACTGTGTGGCTTCTGGCTGCTTCCCCGTCAAGACGACCTGCGAGTAAACGGTTTCACCTGACGCGGGCCACCGTGGCCGCCCCTGTGGTACAGCTAGACCTGAAGGAGGACCTGCAGAACTGCCGGCAAGACTGACGTCAGGGGGCTGGGGATTTAGCTCAGCGGCAAAGCGCCTGCCTGGCAAGCGCAAGGTCGTGAGTTCGGTTCCCGGTACCGGAGAAAAACCAAAAAAAAAAAAAAAAAAAGACTGACGTCAGCCACGGAGAGGGTGCATCGTGAGACACAGGAGCTTAAAAACCGCATGGCTTCTCATACATGAGAAGCCCCAAATAGAAGTAAAGAGCAAAATCAAAGTGAGGTAATAGGAAGAGAGCAAGTAGATCTTTCTCATGGGGAGGGGCCCTAGAGATGGAGGAAAGGCGTAAAGAGGAAAAGGGCGCGTTACAGACGTGCACCAGCCGCACGCAGGGCACGAGATCGTGTGTACACGTGCGTGGCCAGAAGGTACATTTATGGACCAGTGATAGCCAGTGAGAAAACGAGTGGCAGGAATGACGGGATAAGCGTGTTCACAGTGAGGGCAGTCATTTGAGCTGGGTTCATGGCGGTGTCTTTTGTAGTACATTTTTTTTTTAATTCACTATTTTTATCACACTTCATGGAGGAGGAGAATATTAAAATGGGGAGGGACAAAGCGCCGGGCTGCCTGTCAGCGCCCCACGTCCCCCTCCCTGGAGCTGCAGGTGCACAGCTGGGAAGCAGGCCTTGCCTCGGCAGCGCTGCACCCTCTGGGGAGACGGTTTCCTCCCTCAGAAACCTGGGGAGGTGTGCGGAGGTGGTAGAGGGGACGAGCGCCAAGCAATGAACCCAAGTCAGCCAGAGATGGGGCCGAGAAGTGGTTGAGGGGCCCTGGAGCCTGCGCTCCCGGGAGGTCTAACTCTCGCATCAGGGTTGGTGACATCTACACGTGGCCCTGCATCAAGGTTCGCACACCGCAGGCCGCCTGCTCATTCGTCCATTTGTTGAGCAAACTTTCATGAAGCTCGCGTTCTGTTCTCAGAATCCCGCGTGACTGAGGTGCTTACCTGCCGGCGTCTCAGATCCCGCACAGAGCATGGCTGTCACTGTCCCAGGACTGCTCCCTTCCTGAGGCGGGTCGGTGTCTAAAGAAAGTGACCTTTGATGGGGCACAAGGGAAGGGGGTGACATTTTCTCTTAAACCTCGGTCTTTGCCTTTCGGAAAGAAGTGTGCGAGATTGTGCAGAACAGATGCATTTGGTGAAACGCCCTCAGAACACTGTCGTGGCTAAAATGGTGGAGCAGGAGCTAGGAGATAGGGCAGTTCAGGACAGATCCAATTTTCTGAAAGGAGGAAGACCTTGGTGAATGTCTTGGAGGAAGTTCTAAAGCAGCGCGCTGTGCCGTGGAAATAAAATGCAAGCCACATATGTGAGTGCTGTGGAGTACTGCGCTGAGGGAGTTTGTAAGGGAGCAGGTAGAGCTCACTCGTGTAGTGCGCTTCCTTTAGCGTAATATGTTCCAGCATATCTGAGGTATTCAGAAGCTGACTCGGTATTGGAATCTGGTTGTATTTGTGTGAACAGCGTCTCGCGTGGGACCAGGCCCATTCCAAGGGCTCAGAACGCATCGGCCACCGCCCACGAGCCGGGACGAGGTAGCGTGCCTCGTCCTGGTGGGCGTGGAATGGACTCACCTAAGACGCGGGTTCGCAGGTTGGAACCCGATCCAGACCTGAGGCCTGAAACCAGAGCAGAGTCCTGGTTCTGTTCCGTAACGCACGAGGCCCGGCCTGGCCGGCGGCTGGGCCAAGGGCGGGGTGAGGACCGCGTCCCCAGCAGCCCGTGGCGGTGGGCTCAGCCTGGGGTCCCGAGAGCCCGGAGCGCAGCCTGGGCAGCACTGGTTGGGTGTGCTGGGCACAGCCCTCCTGGGGCGCGGCTCTGACCTGGGGGCCTTGGGGCATGGAGTGCCAGGGAGGCAGCCGTCACCCGAAGAGGGCAGCGGGGTGTGAACCCTGGCCGCCAATGCCTGGCACAAGAAACCGTA